GCGGAAGTCGAAGCGCGAAGTGGCGAGGGTTCACTGTATACAATGGTCTTGAGCAGAGGTGTCAAACATAAAATGAAAATAGAAACAAATTGTTATGAGAACAGCACTTAGAGGAGATCGAGGTAATACCGTACACATTATTCCCTCATTACATTTTATTTCAGTCTCGTGGGCCACAAAAAATTACCTCGGGGGCCACATGCGGCCTACAGGCTGCCAGTTTGACACCCCTGGTATTGAGGAAGCATTGTGAATTCTAGATGCGATGATGGGATTGGGGTTGGTATCTCTTTGAGATGAAATGATAACGGTGTCTGGGATCGGCTTCAGAATGATTAGAGGCGGAGGGGGTCGCAGCATTGAAACAAGACTGGCCGAGGTATTGGACACGGGGACCGCTCTGGGCGCGTTGTCTGACTCTGTAGTTTTGAACGTGCTTTAGATTACCCATAATAACCCAAATCAATCAAGACTCAGTGTGACCGTCTAGGACAGGGTAGAACTGCCTCTGCCACTGTGTACAGGGGTAGAAACCCTCATCTTCCTCCCCTTCACCCCCCAGCAGCGGTTGGTGCTTTTCGAACTAGTGACCTTGCAGTTGGAGCCCAACACGTAATCCACCATGCCACCCACCCGGGCTCTTGTCCATAACGAAAGGTTGGGGGTGGGGGGCAGGGAAACAACCAAAAAAGGTTCTTGCAGAAGGAAGCCAAGATCATTAAAACTAAGGAACCATCTCTATCAAATATTGGTGGCAGCATCTTTTTGAACCCCTAGCCCCAGACCCTGCAGCCAGCCACTCCACCACTGGCGAGTCACCCTACTGTCCCCTGGTGTTTGAGTGACGCAGTGGGCGTGCACGGACACTGTCACTCACTGCAGCAACGGGGATGAGGGGTGGAAAGGACCTACTAGAACCCTAAAACCCCCAAACCCAGCCTGTTGCTGTTGGAGGAATCACTCGTGGGGAACCTGTAGGGCAGAAAACTGCCCATGGGACTTCCTGGGCTTCGTGGTAACTGCTTAGCCACTGTGCTGCCAGGACTCTCCTGAACACAAGCCCCCCCAAACTTGCTGCTCTTGAGTTGATGCTGACTCATAGAGACCCTATGTTAAGTAGCTAGATTTAGGGACAAGGGGGCTTGTTCCTCCCAAGCCTGCACGTTCCCCCTCCAGGTTAGAAGGAAATTAGGCAGCTATTAGATGCCTACGCAGACCCCCCAAACTGAGCATGTGCAAACTCAAGCCCTGAGCCAGGTGGGAGATTTACCTGGGAGGTCCAAACTAGCAGGGGTATGGGTGGGGGGATGACATCACCCAGGTGGGCTTCACAGCCAATGGGGTCAATCAATACCTTCAACCCCGCCTCCCCCAGCCAGGGGGTGGGCCAGGCTAAAGGCAGGGAGCACACTCTCACTCTCTGGTCCCAGCTCTCGCCACTGCCTCTCCGACCGCCACCCCTTCCACAGGTGGGGGTGCTCATTTCCACGGGGATGTTTGCGCCCAGGTGCATGCTTCCCAGGGATAGCAGGTACCCTTTGAGACTAACATCTGAAACTTGTCCCGTACATCATAAAAGTCCACTTGGATTACAAAATGGGCTGCGGTGTGAATTCTTTCACGGTGCGAAGCCAAGAACCAAGGTCTGACCCATTCAAGGTTACACCTGCACAGGCTTCCCGAGACTGTAAAGGGGCAGAGAGCTGCATCCTTCTCCCGTGGTGTGGTGCGTGGGCTTGAATCCTCACCTTGTTGACAAGCCAGTGCGTACCCCACAGTGTCACTAGGGCTTCAGTGGGGGACCCAGGCAGATCACATTTAACCAATGGGCCACTGAGAAAACACCAAAGTGGTTGTTGAATCAGTTCTGCCTCTTGGCAATCACGTGTTCGAGTAGCTGTTCCACACGGCTTCCTGTCATCTTTCTGGAAGGATATGGACAGGTCTCTGTCCCATGGTGCCGTCGGGTAGGCTTGGCCCGGCAAGGTTCGGGGTTGGCAATTGAGCACAACCTGTTTGTACCACACAGTGGCCTTCTACACAAGCATAAACTAGAGAGGTCATTCAGATGCTGTAGCACAGGAGATGGCTGCCAGGTTCAATGACAGAACAAATGGGGAAAAAGCAAGCTACAGAACAGAAGCTCTGCCTGGGAGGGCATGCCTCTCTCTCTTCAAAGGGTGGGGAAGCAGGCCTATGTGCAGATGTGATAGGTAAGTTTGTATCGACTTGGCTGAGCCAGGCTTCTCCGTGGTATGATAGTAAGCTCTAGTAGTCCCCCACGGTGTGACCTAACAGCGTAATTAGCTTCATAATGGGATCTGGTGTGAGCCACCAATCAGTTGTCAGACTATTAAAGTGGAATGCAGTCCATATACTCAGGTCGCCGGCCTGATACTGTTTCTTCGAGAGTGTGACCTACTTCCTATATAAGTCGATGCAGTGGGGAGTTTCTGGGTGGATCTGGCTCCTGCATCTGGCTCATTGACCTCTGGTTCTGTGTGTGTCTGGGTAGACTAGAGAAACAAATCCAAGGAGACTCTTACGCAGGGGTCCTCAAACTTTTTAAACGGGGCCAGTTCACTGTCCCTCAGACCATTGGAGGCCCAGACTATAGTTTAAAAAAAAAAACTATGAACAAATTCCTATGCACATATCTTACTTTGAATTAAAAAACAAAACGGGCAAAAACACCCGGCCCAGCGGGCCGGATAAATGTCCTCGGTGGGCCACATGTGCCCCGTGGGCCATAGTTTGAGGACCCCTGCTCTTATGTGTGTAAGAGAGATCTTTATATCAAAGAGCAATTGTACATTAAGAAAGCATCCCCGCCCAGTCCAGATCAAGTGCGTAAGTCTGATATTGGCCCCTATATCCAATATCAGTCTATAATTTCCTCTTTAGACTCACGCAGCTATGCAATGATGCTGAATGCCGGAGGATCACAAGACTGGGTGGAAAGTCTTGTGGCTCCAGTGGCGGTGGAAGCATCTCAGCACTGGTGTGGGTCTCCATGTGGCTCCTCCAGCTCCAGGGCTCTGGCTCCATCAGTGTCTCTCCATGTGGCTTGTCAACAGGAATGTGAGAGTCTGTTGTGCCTCCAAATGAGGTCATCAAGCTGCGGCCTGATTGACAGGCTAAACTCCACCCCTTCACTCTTAATGGTCTCAAGTTGACACCAGATTACATAACTACCACAGATTCTTTGACTTGGGCCAAACGGCCTGCCATATTGTCTGCCTTCAGCAGCCTGCCCACTGACCTGCAGCCCTTGGATCCACTGGACCATGGATCCATCCACCTTTGCATCCGCCAGCCTGAGTGTCCTGGTCTAGCAGCCCCCATAGCTACACGAGTCAGGAGATGCTTCCAGCTAACAGCTGACCTATGGACTAGAACTAGACTCAACTCGCTTCTACAATTATATAATTTCCCCATTAGTTTTGCTTCTCCAGAGAACTTAGCCAAATACACATTTCCTTGTACCTGGAAAACTCTCTGGAAGCAAACATAAGAAATAAGCAGGAAGAGGTCCCAGCAGGCTGGCTGAGGGACCACAGGAGGAGACATATGACTGCCTGTTCTTTTTCAACCTTGAACCATGAAGATATTGTTTTTATGTCAGCACTGCATTTCACCTTTTTTTTTTTTTTAAGCAAACCAGTAAAGGAAAGGACTGTGACCTCTGGCTCACTTATGTAATTAAGAATGAAAACAAGTCATCACGCACACTCACTAAAAACGTAGGCACCAATAGAGCGCTACACATCACCCTTTGTGTTTGTTTGGTTTCCCACGGTGACCCTGGTGACTCCATTTCCATACTGCTGTTGGTTGTCAGCCCCATCCAGGCAGCCCTCGGATTCATGGTGAGCCTGTCCACCACCTGCATGACTGATTGCTAATAGATCAAACTGCTACGATCCACGAGGTTTTTATTGGTGGGCTTCCAGGAAAGTTGATCACCCGGCCTTTCTTCCTCGTCCATGTTTAGCCAAGAAGCTCCACAGGCACTTGTTCAGCATCTTAGCCACCCGAAAGCTTCCAGGGACAGGCAGTTAGGGGTGGTGGTGGCTGTGCCTGGTGCCCTGGATGGGGACTGAACTTAGGTCGCCTGCATGAAGGGGGAGGAGTCTACCACTGAACTCAAACTGCCTCAAAAGGAGGTTTGGCTCTAAAAAAAAAAAAAAGTATGGTAAAAAGTTCATTTTGGAAACTCATTAAACAGTAGCTGCCATTAAAGTAGTGAGTCTGGTGAGAAGGGGCGCACTACGCAGCGGTCTCCAGGGATGCCACGGGGGGGAGAATGGTGGCACTGCCTGCTTTTCACACGTCTGATGACATCGGCCGCTCCAGTTCCGGCCAATTAGGTGGCGGCGTGTTGGCAACCACCACCAGGATAAGAACCTGGAGTGTTTATTGAGCACTTCCGGTTTGCAATCGCTTGCTAAGCATTGTACACACGTGACCTCGTTAGTGCTTTACATCCGGCCCTTAAGGTAGCAAACAGGAAGGTCCCCATTTACTAGATGAGGATGGAGGCTAGAAAGAGGAAGCTATTCACTGGAGGCCACAGAGGGAGGCAGGATAACGCTTGTGAGTCGGATCTACAGGGGATGTGGAGCCCCAGGATGTGCACTCCACAGTGGTATCTGAGGGCCTCAGTGGTGGCTGGTTTTCCCGAGGCAAGTTAAGGTGTAACAGCAATCCAGCTGCCTCGGTCAGTGCCTCCTGCTGGCTGCCGTCCTCAAGAGAGCAGCCCTCAGCCAGCCCTTCTGGCTGAAACCAGGGTTCCCGGGCCCGAGCCTCCAGCAGAGAAAAGAGGGGTTTCTGAGTCAGCTGGGTGGGAATGGGAAGAAGGCAAGAGGATTGATTTCAAGGGCTTGAACAACGCCCCTGTCCTTCCTTCTTAGGTCCGAGACCCGTGTCAGGCTCAGGGCCAAGGCAGGGGAGTCCCTACGGCCAGGGTCTCCAGAAAGGAGTACAGCACAGGGGTAGGTGCGGTGGTCCCACCTCCTGAGACAGAGCCGCCAAGGGGCTTCAGCACAGGTTGAACACGGAGGGGGCCTGGCCTTGGTATTTCTCCTGAACAGTGTTGAGGATGGGGATGAGGTTCTGGAAGGTCGGGCGGAAGGAGGCCTCCTCTTCCCAGCAGTGCTTCATGAGGTGATAGATCTGGGGAAGGCAAAACCGGATAGGAGTGGGGGTGGCATGGGTCCTGCTCCCTCCACAGCCCACAGGGGGGGCGGCAGGGGATGGAGGTGGGCTCACCTCACAGGGACATGCCTCTGGTCGAGGCAACCGCTCTCCTTGTTCTAGTAACTCCGTGAGCCTCAGCACCGTCATCTGACCCGGGTTGAAGCCAATGAGTTCCATGAATTTCTAAGGGAGACACCAGGCAAATTCAGTTCAGGAGGCAGCACTGCTCAGTGGTCAAGGGCCCACACTGTGGGCAGGGCTGATCAGTGGGTGCTAACCCACCCCCACTTCGCAGCTATAGGGCCTTGCCTCTCTGGGCCTCGGAGTTTTCTCCACCTGTATAATGGGGAAGGTAACAGCCTCCATTGGCTGGGGCTATGATGAAAGTCTGAGAAACTAACATTCAGAGACCTCTGAGGGGAGCTAGCTGTTCTTATGCAGATGAAGCCTCACTGGAGCTTGCTTTGGGCTGCCTAGAATCATCCCCTATAAAGGCAGCCTGATTTGCTTTGGAGACAAACCTTAACATACCCTAGATGCCTTCCCACTCCGGCCCAGCAGACTGAGATAAAAAGCCCCTGGCTGCACACTGAATGGCTCTACAATGGGCACGTTTGAGCCCAGCTGGGCCAATTCGGGAGAGTCCTGAGAATTCTGCGGGAACTAGGACTCCCATTGAGAACTAGAGTCCTGATGACAGCTGGGAGCCCAGATCAAGCCTGTCCGCAGCCATGGCTGCGAGTTTGCAAATATATTACAGCATCTGTGCTTCCTGCTAAGTCAAGTCCACATGAGTGATATTTCTGCCACTAATATCCATAGTGACCTGTCGTTACTGGTCTGGCCGGGCCGGGAGGGAGCTGAGACAGGATGCATTAGGGTGGAAGTGGGAGCCCGGAATCTCAATGCCCTTCTTCCCAACACCTCTGATGAACTCCATGGTGGGGGCAGGCGCCAGGTGCTAACCGAAGGGGGGCTCTGGCTGGAGTCACAGCGTGTCAGCAGCTCATACAGGGTGACCCCGAAGGACCACACGTCAGACGCATAGTAGAACTTGGACTCCTTCAGGCACTCGGGGGCATACCTGGGAGAGAGCAGGTATGGACCCAGGTAAGAGGTCAGCACAGGCTCCGGCTGTGCTTAAGGGCCTCCCCTGGCCCCTACTGGTGCCCCACCCCGGGAAGGGAGTCGTTTCTTTGGGACCAATAGCTATCTCCTCCACCCTGCCTGCTGCAGGTGAGCCTGGCACCCTCCCTCGCCCCTCCTGGTCACCAGAACGCAGGGCTGTCCCCATCCTCGCGCACGCGGTAGTAATCGTGGCCTTCTGGGACGGCTTTGGCCAGGCCAAAATCCCCGATCTTGACCAGCCTGCCATGGTCCAGCAGTACGTTGCGCGCGGCCAGGTCTCGGTGGATGTAGTGCTGCGTGTGCAGGTAGGCCATGCCCTGGGGGTGGGGCGGGTCCGGTCAGCTGGGGTAGGCACTGAAGATAGGGATCAGTACGGCTGGGGGCCGGCAGGAGGCCCTGCCAGGAGAGCAGGCTGGCTGGCAGGTGGGGCCCAAGCGAAAGGGGGCGGAGCTAGGAAGCTGGGACGAAGACTGGGAAGGGCGATTTGGGAGGGGCCCGGCGTGCACAACGCGGCCAAGAAGGTGGGGCGGGCCCCGCCCCCCCCCCGTGGGGCGGGCCCCGCCCCCCCCCTAGGGAACGATAAGCGTCGCTGAAAGAGTAAGTGGGCGGAGCTCGGGAGGGGTCTGGGACTAAGCCAAAAGACCTGGGGCAAGGTGGGCTAGCGGGTGCGGGCCCCACCTCGCAGATCTGCCGGGCGAAGAGTAGCAGGTGGGCCAGGCCCACGTGGTGCCGGGGCAGGTAGTCCCGGAGGCTGCCCAGAGGCACATACTCCATGACCAGCTGCATGGACTTCTCGCCTGCCGCCGAGAGGGGCACCCATGGGTACGCGTCAGGGAGGGCCCGCCGTGCCAGTCTGCGCCCTGCAGCGCCACCGCTGGGCCCCCAGGCTCCGCTCCAGCCACAGGTGGGCCGGGCCTCCTAGCCCGGCCCATCCTAGACTCCGCCCCCTGGCAGCTCAACCCGCCGGTCCCACCCACCCAAAGGCCCCGGCTGGCCCTCCGGGGCCGCCCACCTGGGTCTTCGCAGCAGCCCTTGTACTTGACCACGTGCTCGTGGTAGAGCGTGCGCAGAATGTCGATCTCGCGTCTCCAGCCGGCGCGGAGCTGGGGGCCGCTGCCCGCCTTCAGGGCCTTCACGGCGACCATCTCGCCGGTGCCGTCGTTGGTTGGGTCGTAGCAGTACAAGGTAACCTTACCGAAGTGGCCCTGGCGGAGCGCGGGGCGTCAGCCATCCTGAGGAGTCCCGCCCCGTCTGTGTCCCGGACCCCGCCCCATTTTGCCAAGCATGCAATTCCACTCGGGGGTGGGGGGCTCAGCTGGCGGTCAAACCCACCCGACGGGCAGCGCCGGGGGAAAAGGGGGGCTGGCCACTCCTGGAGCCTCGGAAATCCTAAGGAGCAATTCTACTCCATCCTAATCACGAGGTTGGAATGGACAGGGGAGGGGGGTGGGGGGAGGTGGGGGGTGGTGGTGGTAGTGGGGGGGGGGAGCCTTGGCTGCTGGGCGGTAGATTGACTGCCTTTGAAACCCGACGGGGTGGTTCTACTCTGCCCTGTCCGGTCTCAGGGAAGCGGAATTCACTCAGCAGCACCTGACATCCATAACAAGTCCTGTCTAGCCCTGGGAGCCTAGAGCATCCCCGTGGAGGTGGTCTGTTAATTGCCAAGGGCGCTGTTCACACCCATCTGCTGCTTCTTGGAAGCATGGGGAGGCTGTCTGTTCCCAAGATTTAGTTCTAGAATCACGAAGGAGCAATTCTACTCTGCCTTATAGGTATCAAGTCGATGGCAGTGGGCTTTTTAGGGTTCCCCTCCAAGTCCCCAGAGTCTCTCCCTAAACTCAGAAGCTTCTAGGCCAGTGGTTCTCAACCTTCCTAATACCGCGACCCTTGAATACAGTTCCGCATGTTGTGGTGACCCCCCATCCATAAAATTATTTTCGCTACTTCATCACTGTCATTTTGCTACTGTGATGAATCGCAATGTAAGTATCTGCTATGCAGAATGTATTTTCATTGTTACAAATTGAACATGAAGCATAGTGCTTAATCACAAAACAAAATGTAATTATATGTTGTGAAATATTTATGGGTTTTCCCCATGGTCTTAGGCGACCCCTGTGAAAAGGTCGTTTGACACCACCACCCCAAGGGGTCGCGACCCACAGGTTGAGAACCGCTGTATCTAGGCGGAGCCCTGCCCACCTCACGAGGCCACACCCACATCTCAGGAGCACCTCCTGCAGGCGGGACTTGGAGTCACTATGCCCCAAGGCCCTCCCCGACCAACTCAGGCCCCACCCCAGGCTCCAAGGCCCCGCCCTCACCTCGCCCAGATCCCGGATTTTTTTCAAATAGCGCTTGTGGAAAACGGTGGGGTCGGTTGCCAGCGAGTTGGGGCTCACAGCCATGATGTCAGAAAGATCTGGAAGGTACACAGGGGGTGAGGCCAGGCCCAGGCTTTTCCGGGCAGACCCGCTTTTGTGTGTGTGGGGAACCCCCCATCCTAGTGGTAAAACAACCCTCCTTTCTCCCCCACGCAATGGAAAATTCCAATTCCTATCCAAGGTGCCCAGGCCCAGCACCCACAGCCACACCTGAAAGTTCTGAGACTGGAGGTACAGGCCTTCGACGGAGCGAGAGGTTCCCCCACCACCCCGCCCATCTAACCACTCTCCACACCACGTTGGGGGCAGGCTCCCAGCAGCCGCTGGTCCTGGTATGAATTAGTAAAGGACACGCCTGCCCCTTGCTGCCCCCCCTAGCCTGGGCACCCTGATCACCCAGCCTGCTGGTCCCTGCCCCCAGGGCCGCGCTGGGGTGAGGCTTACTGTGGGGCTGCAGCTGCGTGAGGTCTCGCAGGACGGTGCGGAAGGAGGGCCGCTGGGCTGGATTGTACGTCAGGCACTGCCTGGTGAGGGTGGCCAGCTCCGGGCTTGCGGGCTCGGGCAGCTGCTGCCGCTTCTGGTAGAAGCGCTCTTTCTGGGGGAGGGGACGCTGGAGGGTCAGTGCGTGGTTCCTGCGCTGTGGCCACTTTCTCCTGGGTCAAGGCCGAGGCTGCACTGGCCAAGTCTGTGCCCTGCTTATTCATACCATTTTACAGAGGAGGCAACTGAGGCTGGGCTGGGAGCAAAGATGGCCGCAGAGCAGGGGCCCTGCCAGCTTGCAGCTTTAGCCAACCCCTGGAGGCTCCTGCCCGCTCCCCTCTCACCACCACCCCTGGCAGCCCTGGTGGAGCCTCGGGGCCTCTCAAAGGGCACCCGTAGCATCACGGCCCTTACTGGCTTTCTAGGACCACCTCCTGAGAAATGACAATTATCTCTGGCTGATGGGACTAAGTAGGGCCCAGTGCCTCTCAGAAAGGGGAGCCCACCCTTCTAACTCCCCAAAAGTGCCAGGCCTTCTCTGTGGGAGGGCAGGGGTCTTCTGACATACCTCAGAGGGGCTGCGGCCCTGCAGGGGGGCCTCGCCGTCAAAGCAGATCTCCAGCAGGGTGGCACCGAAGCCCCACTTGTCGACCGCGGGGCTCAGGCTGGGAGCCCCACCAGGTAGACACTCTGGGGCCAGCCAGGGGATCCGCTCCACCCGCTCTGGGGGTCGGGGTCAGAGGTCACTGAGGGGGAGGGGGCATGGGGAGACCGCCCTGTGCCCCTGTGCCCGACCAGCGCGGGGCCTCACCCTCTCTGGAGAGGACGGCCAGGCCCACGCCGGGGTCGCTCAGCTTGATGAAGGGGCTGCTGCCCTCCACCAGGCCAGGCCGAGCCAGCAGGATATGCCGGCCACACACGCTGCCATGAACCAGGTGCTTGTCCTCCTGGGAGACGGGGTGGGGTGCAGTTTGGGTGTCACGGGGGTGGGGTGGGGGGAGAGATACAGGCCCCATCCCAGGTAGCCAGCACAGGGACAGCCAGGTGGCAGGGACATTCCTTTTCATTACTGACTCTCAGTACATTGTCAGGGTGACCAGGCAGCACTGGGGGCAGAGCTGGTGGCCAAGGTTGGGAAAGGCAGGCCAGAGGACCCCTGTCTCTGCTGTCAGCAGACCCATGCCAAGTGGTTTTCCCCAGGGCCTCCCCAGCTCAGCTGCCCCCTCTGCCTGAAGCTCCACCCGGAGGCCCTTAGGGCACTTTCCTCAGCTGGCCAACTCCTCCCCACCCCCACCCCCCAGCACTGCCCACCTTCTTAGCTGTCACTCAGCACACTAGGTTCCCCAGGGGAAAAGTTGGGGTTTGGTTACAGTTTTGCTGCATCCAGAGGGCTGAGGATTGGGCCTGCCCCCTTACTGCCCCAGGGGGAACCCCTCGAAAGCTGGGTGAGTGAGCAGGGGGGTGCGGGCTGACTGGCTTGAGTGTGTAGCACAGGGCCTGAGGTGCCAGGCTGGGGAGCTGGGTGTCCGCTGCAAGGGCAGGAGAGGCCCAGGGGTGTGCGCTGAGCAGTTTGGGAACTCTGCTGGGTGCTGCAAAGATCTCCCAGGGCCGCCCCCCCCCACCCCCAAGGGTCCTCTCGGCTACTCCCAGGCCACACACCAGGTAGCTGAGGGCGCTGGCCAGCTGCTGGGCCACTGCCACCTTCCAGGCCACAGGCACACGGCCCCTCTCCCGCCGCAGCCACACGTCCAGGGGGCCATGCTCCACGTACTCGGTCACCAGGATGTCTGCAAGGGCCCAGCTGCTACAGGGACTGCCCACAGGCACCCACCCTCGGAGGGGCTTGGGCTGGGACTGGGTGGGGAGGGTGTCAGGGCAGAGCTTGGGCAGGGCCGGGTGGGGGGCTGGACTGGGTTGATCTGGAAGGTTCTGAGGAGCATGTGGGGGGCGGGGGCCTAAAGGCAGAGTGGGGCTGGAATGAGGTTGAGAGAGGCCCAGTCTCGGGGTGAGGAGCAGGGGAGAGAGCTGGTACTGGGTGGGGGGGTGTCCTGGGGCTTTGCAGGGTCTGCATTAGGGGTAGGGGTGTGGTGGGTTCCAATCTGGGCAGCACTGCAGGGCTAAGTCACTGGGGTCAGAGGGGAGCTGGGGGCTGGGTGACCCAGGATCAGGGAGGTGCTGGGAGCTGGAGAAGCTGGGACTGGGTGGGGCAGGCTTTAGGCCGGCGGTTCTCAACCTTCCTCCATGCTACAACCCTTCCTCACGTGGTGACCCCCAGCCATAAAATGATTTTCGTCGCTACTTCATGACTGTCATTTTGTTACTGTCATGAATCGGGCAACCCCTGTGAAAGGGTCGTTCCACCCCCTGAAGGGGTTGTGACCCACAGGTTGAGAACCACTGCTGTAGGCAGAAGGTGAAGATTTCGATGAAGTCAGGAATCTAGGTGCAGCTAGCAGTGAGCATTACAGGGAGGGTGATGGTCAAAATTTACCTTGGGACAGGGATGGAGTTTGGGAGCTGAAATAACCTCGGGAGAAAGGGTACAGGGGGAGGACTCGGGGTGCCAACAGGGGATGGGTTGGGGTATCATGCTAGAATGGGGTGCAGGGGGAAAAAGGGGTGCTGTTAGAGAAAAGCATGCAGGGGAAGGTTGTGGAGTCACAGCGGGAAGGGGTGCAGAGGGAAGGTTGGGGTATCACCAGGGGGTGGGGTACAGGGGAGAGTTGGGGTGTCCTTAGGAGCAGTGGAGTGGAGGGGAAGGTGTCCCTAGGGAAGGGGTGCAGGGAGTTGGGGTCTCACTGGGGACAGAGGCGGGCACTCACTCTCAGAGCCTTGCACGCAGACACCATGCACAAAGGCCAGGTGTGTGTGGGAGACCTGGCTCATGAGGCTGGCGATCTCATAGAAGGCCTGTAAGACAGAGCCGTCAGGGGTCTGCAGACTCCACCCCCTCAGCCCCCGTGCCCCCGTGCCCTCTCCCCCCCACCCCCACCCCCAGCCATGCCCACTCACCAAGGCCACGTCGTGGTGCTGGGGCTCCAGCACCTTGAGCACCACTCGGAGCTCCTGGGCACCCCCGTGCTCCTGGTCCTCCTCGGGGGACCCGCCCCCCACACGCAGGAGGCCCTCATACACGTTGGTCCTCGTGCCCTGGCCCAAGTGGGCAAGCTGAGGGGGGGCAGCAGACAATGGGGCCATGGAGGCAGCTAGCCACGATGCCCCCCAACCCCCCGCTACACACAGCTGGGGGATCTGGCCTTAGTGCAGCACCCCCTTTCCCGCACATACCTGGGTGATATGGTCCGGGTGTACCCGGTAGAAGCTGAGCTGGCCGATGTTGAGTGGCCGGGCATTAGCCTGAGGGCCCCGCATTATGATAAGGTTGGAGAGCTCTGGGAGTGGGGGGCTGTGTCACTGAGGGCTCCTGGGTGGAGATCCCCACCGGTCCCTGGCTCTACCCTGGCCCTGGGTACCTCCTGGCCTGGGCAGGCAGCAGTGGCGCAGAGAGAAGCAGTGGTCCCCGGCACGCAGGGAGCAGTCTTGTAGGGTGGCCCGCAGCGCCCCAATGCTGGGGAAGGTTCGGTCCCAGCCCTCCAGTGTGAAGGCTCCAGCCTGCTGCTCCACTGTGAACTTCCGCAGGTGCACGCTTCTGGAGCTGGGTGCCTGGGGGCAAGCAGGGGTGTTGGTGAGTGGGGCACCAGGCATGAGTGCGCCCACCCCAGCCCAGGCCCTGCCCAGGCCCACCTGCTCTCGCTGGGCCACTGTGAGGATCAGGCGGTAGAGGTGCCTGGTGCTCCAGTGGATGAGGTAGTGACCGTCCTCAGGCCGGAGCTTGGCCAGCACAAAGGGATCCCTGAGCGGGGGGATAAAGGGGCACCATCAGGCCCCCTGGAGCCAATGCTGGACCCAAACCTGGGTACCCAGAACGAGTCCGCTGGGGGACGAATGTCAGACACAGCCGTTCATGGGGTGACACTGATGCTGACATACACACACATTCGGACGTAACATATCACAGAGATGCAGACCCGCCGCAGGTAACAGCTGTGTGTCACAGTTGACTGAGACGGGGAGACCCCCTCAGGCTAAGTCACTCACACAGTCACACAGATGCCGGATTGACACCCCCAGCCACAGCTACAGCCACTCCCAGGGGGGCCACAGACTCAGCAGCTGGTCACACATCCACCCCCATCCACGGCTGCTCGCATGGTGCATCGGTATGGCCCGTCCGGAGGTGATTCCCATCCCACAGCCAGACAGAGCAGTGGTTCCCACACTGGCACCGCCCACAGACCCGCAGCAATGTCCTCCACCTAATGGTGATGACAGCCACGGGCCTTCGCCTCCCTCTGAGGACCGGAGTCACGAGACCTGTGCTACCTCGGGGGGTGGAGTCCCAGGGTCCCAGTGGGAGAAGGGGTCCCTAAGAACAGCGCCCATGACTGGACAGGCGGGTCACCACAGATCCTGGCCTGGCAGCAGCCACACACACCAGGTGATCAACCATAGAAGCACTGTCAGAAGCCACACACAGCCACACACATCACCAAGCCGCCGAGAGATGATGCAGGCATTGCCAAGGCTGTAAGAGGTGTAAGACCCCACGCACCCCCTGACTAGCCACCAGGATCTGTGGTACACGGTGCCCCCAGACTACGCCCACCCTGCCCTCCGCTGGTCACTGGTCCTTTCAAACACATCCTGAGCCCTGTCCCCTGGGCCTGTGTGGTAGTCGACTAGACATTCCTGGCTAGGGGTGGGATGTGTCCTGTCAATCAGGTCCCAGCCTGATGATGGCTCCTTGGGGGTGTGGAAGCCTGGGACCTTCTCCTGTCACTGTCCCTTCACCTTCCTGCTTACTGGGACTCTGTCCCAACCCCGAGGGCTGCTGGAACCGTGCCTGGGATCCTCCTGCATCTGCATCATTGCATTTGCAGCTGGGACCAGTATCCGACCTAGGGGCCTGAGCTGCGTCCTACCTGATTACTTTTGATACAAGTTCTTTCCTATGCATGGATGGGTGTCACCGGATGTGTTTCTCTAGACCACCAGCCTCACACAGCCTATAAGGTGACCATCCTCTTTGGAACAGGGAGCATCAGAGGACGTCATTTGATCATCTGGAGTTGTGTGTGGGGAGGGTCCTACATGTCAGCATGTCTCCATCATCAAATGAGCAGAAGGGACCCAGAGACATACGTGGGGGACAACAGACCCCAGGTGAAGACCAAGGAAGACCCTGGGGCCGGCAACAAGGAGGCCGTCGACAGGGCCGACACCCACCGTGGGGTGAACCTGGCCCCCAAACCCATGAGGTCATCACTTTCTGGTCTTTGAAAGCCCCGCTGTGTGTGGGATCTGGTTACAGCTGCTCTCAACCCAAAGCTGTGGCCACCGAGTCAGGTCCGACTCCTGGCGACCCTAGAGAGGGTTTCTTGGAATGGAATAGTAGATACGAGTGAGCTGCTTAACCTCAAGGTCTGTAGTTCGAAACCACCAGCCGCTCTGCGGAAGAAAGATGAGGCTCTCTGTTCCCGTCAAAAATGTGGCCTTGGAAACTCCCAGGGGCAGTCCTGCTCTATCCTATAGGGTCACCGTGAGTAGGTATCGCCTCGAAGGCGGTGGGGTTCGTTCCTTGGTTTGGGGGAATGTTAACCTTTATGGGGAAGGCCAGCCTCCTCTTTCTGCTGCAGATCAGCTGGTGGGTTTGAACTGCTGACCTTGGGCTTCACAGTCCACCACCTAACCCACAGTACCCCTAGGGCTCCTTTTATTTATTTTTTGATGTATGTTTAAAGGCTCCTTTTATTACCCCCAATACAGTGGAAGATGCAAAATACAAATCTACCAATAAGTCCAAATTGTCCAGTTTTTAAAGCTACAGGAAAACAACCGTTATCCACATTGACAGTCTCAAACCCACATGCTCGAGGGCACAGTCACGCCCATGCTCTGCCTGCCACCCTGGAGGGTGTGTGTGTGCACATGCACTAATACACCACACATACCCACAGGTCATAGCGTGCATGTGGGCATGCAGGTGTGAGCATGCACCCGCAAACCCTTGTCCTCAGACATGCATGTGCACACACCACGTTTCGGTCACGCAGTCCCTCTAGCTCAGTCTGGCTGGCAGTCGGGGTGCGGTGGGGGGGCACTCACAGCAGGGGGCCATGGATACCATTCTGGATATTCATCACCAGCCGGGGAGGAGCCACCTCGTGGCACAGGTAGTGGCTGGAGTCGACTGTCAGGCGAAAGTAGCCATCCACCAGGGACACCAAGGACAGGGCCTCAGCCCTGGAAGGCAGGGTCAGCTCCTGCAGGCAGGGGGCCGTCAGGGGGGTGTCCTGGCCACTGCCACCCACCACCCACCCACCCCCACCCCCGCCCCTTGCTCAGGCCCCACCAGGCGTGTGTTGTCCTGCCGGCAAATGCTGACACGTTGTTCCTTCACCACAAGGTGGCTGATGTCCTGGAAGTTGCAGAAGGAGGCCCAGGGTGCTGGCCGCTCACCCACCTCTTGGGCCTCGCCTTTCTTCCGGGCAGGGCTGGCTGGTGGATTCCTGCTGCAACCAGAACCCTGGAAACCAGCCCGTGGGCCGGTGGATGGGCGGGTGGGAGCTGAGCGGCCTCCTCGGGCATCTGCCTACTGACCAAGCCCCATCGGGGTGGACAGGACCGCGGACCACTCCCCAAAGATACATGTTCCTGGGCCAGACCTCTGGGAGGGCAGAGAAGGGCTCTAGTTCCTTCCCAGGTGTGTGCTCTCCAGAGTCAGGAGCAAAGGGACACTGAACACACGGAGTGCAGAAACCAGTCATTCCCCAAGAAACAGACCCCAGGGGGTGGGCAGACACCCCCACAAAACCAGGTTCCAGGGGTCACGTGGGGAAGATGGTTCTCCCTGCTATACCTGAACACAGATGCAAACACTCGGAGGGCCCCGCCCACCCTACGTGGACCTCCCCCACCCCCAGCACCCTGCTCACCTCTGCCTGTACTGGCCGCCACTGAATGCCCTCAGTGCCCGTCACCAGCAATTCGTGGGAAGGGGGTCCGGTGGCAGGCTCAGGACCCGGGTCCCCAGGGGGCTGTCCAGGGCTCAGGGTGCAGCTGGGCTCCCCCTCAGCCTGGGCCAGCAGCTCCAGGTGGCACACGGGCACGTGCTCCGCGGCAAAGCGGGGCGCCAGCTGCTCGAGCGTGGCCAGGTACTTGACCATGACGAGCTGCTGGGAGAGGCTGCCCGGCTGGAAGGCTCGCAGGAACCGGCGGAAGATGTTGTGCAGGCGCAGCCGGGTCAGCGCGCTGCGCTGCCGGATGTGGCGCCGGAAGGAGCGCGGGATGCAGTCCTTGAAGCTGGGGGGCAGATGCAGGGCTGTCAGGCGCCTGGCCGGGGGCCCAGGGCCCAGGTTCAGGGACATGGGGGGCCCACTGGTCAGGGGTCTCCTTGGAGGATGTGGGGCTAGTCAGGCCTTCTCCAGGGGTCGTGGGGCCTCAGAGCCAGACAACAGGGTGCTGGGTGGTCAGGGTAGAGAGAGAGGTGCCAAGGGGGCAGGGGTGGTGGTGGGGGCAGCTCAGGCCTCTGGAGCAGACAGCTGGGCTGGGGTGGGGTGTAAGCAGCTCTCAGACTACTTCCTCCATCCTCACCTGTAACGGGGACCCCCAGTGCCCACCCCTAGGGCAGCTGAATGAAAGGAGTCCTGCCACACAGTGCTTCAGATGCCGCCCAGCACTGCTGCCCAGCACTTGTTGGCCTGACTGCCCACTGAAAGACTCAAGGGCACCCGGAGACGCCAGGGAAGAAAGGCCCTGACAGGTCCATTCTGACACACGGGGTTGTCAGGAGTTTGGATCGACTCTGCAGGGTGGGAGAAGTCGCTATTCTTTCTACTATCAATAGACCAGTGTCAACAGGGACCCTGTAGGACAGGGTAGAACTGCCCCTGTGGGTTTCTGAGATGGGAGCAGAGAGCTTTGTCTTTCTCCCAGAGAGGCTGGTGGTTTTGAACTGCAGACCTTGCGGTTAGCAATCCAACTCATAACCGGGACGCCACGAGGGCTCCTTGCAACAGGACATCAGAATGACTCTCCCCTTGCCTGTGGGTCGATTCCAGCTCATTATAACCCCCAAACTCCAAGCTCACCACCATCGAGCCTGTGCCAACTCATAGTGACCCTAGAGGGCAGGGTAAAACTACCTCTGTGGGTCTCCGAGACTAACTCTTTACAGGAGGAGAAAGCCTCTTCTGTCTCCCGCAGAGCGGCCGGTGGTTTTGAACTGCTGACCTTGCAGTTGGCAGCCCAACACCTAACCACTGTGCCACCTGGCTCCTGTTCCCACAGAGACTGACAGCCTCGGACACTCTCTGTGGGGTGGCTCTGCTGGACGGTTGTGGGTGGGCTCTGAAGTGTCCGTGAGGGAATCACTGAGATGGGGTACCTTTGATGGTGGATATTTTTCACCATGAACAAAACAAGCAGGCACAGCTCCACGGGGCTCCTCTGGCCCCCGAGATAGCCCCGTTCTTGGTCCTCCACATGCGCCCTTCTCCCCCTGGCCTCCAGCCTCCATCCCAGGTCCCTGTGCCATGGTCTAGAGGTCCTCAGCCTTCTCCCCCACCCCCAGAGCAGCAGAATCCTACTGCCCAGGGCTCCTGCCCTTACTCCAATCCTTCCAGGGCTCTCCAGCACCCTCAGAGGGCAGGCCCGGGAGGAATGCATAGCTTTCTACGTTCAGTTCCCTTACAGAGAGGTCCTCCCTTTACCACCTCTGCCTCTGGGCCAAGGGCGGACCTATTCCCTCTACGGCCAAGGCTGTCTGCACCTGCATGACACCTGCTCTCCCTTCCAGTCTCAGCAGAGGAGTCAAACCTACACCCCAAACCAGCCCCGTTGCCATCGAGTTGGTTCAGGCTCACAGTGACTGGCCTACGGGGACGTCACGGCTGTCAGCTTCACAGGAGCGGGTGGCCGCATCTTCCCCTTGCAGAGTGTCTGGGGGGTTTGAACCACTGACCTTCTAGAGATTTTAGCACAGTGACACCAGGACTCCTGGTAGTACAACCAAACCATGACCAAACTCACTGCTACCCAGTCAATCTTGACTCACAGTCGTCATACAAGGCAGGGCAGAACTGCCCCTGTGGGTTTCCAAGACTACATTTTTACAGGAGTAGAAAGCCTCGTCTTTCTCACAAAGACTGGCTGATGGAACACCTAACCACTGTGCCACCGGGGCTCCCTGATAGCACAACCAAAGCACAGTAACACCTGCCTGCCATCAAGTGGATGCTGTCTCATAGTACAACAGGGATCGGGAACTACGTTCTTCTTGATGACCCAGTCTGTGCTCTGCCTCCTCCAGGCAGCCTGTCCTGATTGTCCCAGGCTGTCCCTGGAGCTGAGAGGCTCCCACCTCCCCAGACGACCGCCTCCTTCTTGCTCTTTTATTTTAATGAGTTCTCAAATCCAAGGGGCTCTGAGGTTTTCCCCAATCCTCACCTCCCTGCCCACCTCCCCTCCTGCCCTGACCCCAGCTCCCTCTGCTCCAGCTGTGCTGGCCTCCTGACTGTCCCTCTAATAAGCGGGGCATCACCCAGCCTCAGGGTCTTTGCGCTGGCTGTTCCCTCTGCTTGGAATGCTCATCCCCAGATCACTGCACAGGGCTCCCTCCTTCACCAGCCTCAAATCTTAGCTCCCCTTCTCTGAAAGCACCTTCCCTGACTCCCCATTCCCGCCCTGACCAGCCCCGCTGCTCCTTCCTGCATAATCGTCACCCCGGCTCTTCTCACTGTCTGGACATCTGAAACCCTGGACATCGGCCTTTGGTGATTCCTTTTATCATGGGACATCTGAAACCCTGGACATCGGCCTTTGGTGATTCCTTTTATCATGTGTCGCCCCTGAGATTGGGTCACACCCTGGGCCCCAGCCCTGCCCCATTCCCCGGGCACCTGGTCTTCTTGGCCACCTCCTCCAGGGGGACACCGAGGCAGAGCGCCAGGTGGCAGAGGTGCAGGAAAGCCATGCCCAGGCTCTCATTCTTGAAGTGGCGGATCTGCTCCTCGCTGGACAGCTCCCACAGGGAGACCACGTCATTCACGAACTCGTGCTTGCCCTGGGGGTGGGGATGGGGGAGAGAGGGGTGGGGTTGGCAAAGGAGGGAGGGAAGCATTGAAGGGCCTTCAGGACACCTTGGAGAGGGGAAGGGACAAAGCCAACACACAACAGGCAGTCTTCCCCTGTGTGTGTGTGTGGGGGGGCAGACAGCACTAATCAATGCTGGCACTTCTTCCCATGTAACTCCTGGAGTCCCAGATCAGACAAAACATCCCTGACGGCAGGCCATGAGATCTGCTGGCAATACTGAATCGGGGAGGAAAGTGGGGGTTCCTCATCTGTGCCCCCCACCCACCCTCCACCCCCCACCCCCCAAAACAGCCCTGCTCACACCTGCTCAAAGATGTACTCAAAGGAGGCTGGGTCTAGGAACTGCAGTCCCCCCTCTGCTGGATGGGAGGAAGCCTGGGACCCGGGGGGCCCGCAGCGGTACACAGTCTGTTCCTGAGCATTCATGCCATGCCAGTTCCGGAAATAAAACCTGCAGGCAGGAGATGGGGCACCACGCGGTGCTCAGTGGGCAGCTTCACTGCCCTGCAATGGAACCAGGGCAGGAGTGTGTGAGTGTGTGTGTGTGTGTGTGTGTGCCAGGGCAGGAGTGTGTGAGTGTGTGGGTACCAGGGCAGGAGTGTGTGTGTGTGTGTGTGTGTGTGTGTGTGCCAGGGCAGGAGTGTGTGAGTGTGTGGGTACCAGGGCAGGAGTGTGTGTGTGTGTGTGTGTGTACATACGTGGGCCCACCTCATACGGAAGTACAGGATGAGGCTGCTGTCTCTGGGGACCTCCAGGATGTGGCTTGGGGGCAGCCAGATGTGGGCCTGGGCATTGAAGAGGGCGAACAGATTGAAGCAGGAGGGAGTGATGCCTGCAACAGGGCAAGACAAGGCCAGGCCTCAGGCCTCCTGTGGCCATCGGCCCCAAGAGCCCCAGCCCCTCTGCCTCCCTTCACACGCCCTCCCTGGGCCTCTTCCTGCTGGGACACGTCTCTTCTCTGGCTCGCAGGTTATCAGATAGCTCAGTGTGTCGCCCAGGCTGCGGCCTCACAGGAAGACTACACTTCCCAGCCTCCCTTGCAGCTAGGATGCAGCCCTGGGCCTGCTTTCTGGTCAATGGGATGTGGGCATAAAAGGGTCTGCACATTTCTGGACTGGTCACTCCATCCTCCAGTCGCCTTCTCCGTCCCAGGGATGGCAGAGGCCCCTTGTGCTGGGTGGCAAAGCTTTGAGGGGTGAACCACCTGCCAGGCATGAGATTTGATTGGCCAATCAAGTCTGATGTCCCCTAAAACACGAGCTATGAATGAAAAGCCTGTGCCTGTGATTATAATCCATTTGGAATGGGCTGTTTTGATTATGTCAGTGGGAAAGACATTAGTGTAGGGGTCTGAAATCAGTCTCCTTCTCCCGGCACAAGAGCAGATGAAGCAAGGATGAAGAGAGCAGGGCGAGGCCCTGGAAGACAAAGGTCAAGCTTCTTGAAGCCGGCGGGGCAGAAGCTCTGGAGAGACCAGGGCTTTCCTTCAGAGACACGGGGAGAAAGCCTTCCCTGAGTACCAGCACTGAGGAGCCCTGAGGGCGGAGTGGGTTACAAATTGGGCTTCTAACTGCAGGGCCAGCAGTTCAAAACCACCCGCCCCGCACAGGAGAAAGATGGGGCTTTCTACTCCCATGAAGAGTGACAGCCTCGGAAACCCACGGGGGCGGTTCTGCCCTGTCCTGCACAATCGGAATTGACTGGATGGCCGGGAGTTTGGTTTTTCGGCCTGAGTGCCGGCACACAGAATCCAGACTGCCCGCCTCCTCACTGTGCGAAAAATAAGCATTAAAGCCCTTCCTTGTGGCATTTCTGTGACCGCAGCCGTTGATCCCTACGATGGACACACAGACTGTCCCAAGCTGGGGGGATTACGGGGACGGCTTTGACTGCAGCAAAGCCCATCCTAGACTGACTCTCAATTCTGCACACCACTGGCATGTAGCCTGGTCTCTCCCCGACGGCCAGCCCTGACGACTGAAGACGCATCCAGCTCCCTCTCAGCTGTCTCTTTGGGGACACCACAGGCCCCCTTTGATGTACCCTGTGCCATACAGACCTCATCTGCGGTCCCTAAACCTGCCCAGTTCTTCAAGCGGAAACGTGACCTTTGGTTCTTCCCAGGCCCTCCATCAGCTCGAATCCTGCTGTCGACATCGCCCACTTCGCTGGGATCACCCACGCCGGCCTCCTCGGGAATCTCGCCGTCTCCAGGTTGGCCAGTATCCCCACGCTAGCCACCCAAGACTTCGTTCTTCCTGGTACACACCGTGTCAAAGGCTTATCAGCAGAGTCCACTCAGCAGAATCACTTTTTTTCCCCCAATCATTTTACTGGGGGCTCGTACAACTCTTATCACAATCCAGACATCCATCCATCATGTCATGCACATTTGTACATTGGTTGCCATCATCAGTCTCAAAACATTTTCTTTCTCCCTTTTTTTCGCCCCCAAAACATTTTCTTTCTACTTGAGCCCTTGGTATTAGCTTCTTATTTCCCCCCCCCTCCCCTTCCCTTTCTCATGAACCCTTGATAACTTATAAATTATTATTTTTTCATGTCTTACACTGACTGATGTCTCCCTTCACCCACTTTTCTGTTGTCTGTCCCCCTGGGAGGGGGTTATGGGGAGAGCATTGTGATCAGTTCCCCTTTTCTCCCCCGCCTTCCCCTTCCCCTCCCGCCATGGCTACTCTCAATATTGGTCCTGAGGGGTTTATCTGTCCTGGATTCCCTGTGTTTCCAGCTCTTATCTGTACCTGTGTACATGCTCTGGTCTAGCCAGACTTGTGAGGTAGAATTGGGGTCATGATAGTGGTGGGGAGGAAACATTTAAGAACTAGAGGAAAGCTGCATGCTTCATTGGTGCTATACTGCACCCTGACTGGCTCCTCTCCCCGTGACAGAATCACTTCTAAACACCCACATCCCAGCCACCAGAAATAGAAAATGTGTCAGCCGACTTTCTCTTCCTTCCTTCTCCCTAAAGGGCCCGCAAAGACCTAGGTCTGTCGCGTTGTCATTGCAGATGTCTCATTTCTGTCGCCTCTAGGTCTAGTCAGTTGGCCCCACTGTGGCGGCCCCCGGTTTGACCAAGGCTGGCTCGCCCGCGCTCCACGGGTTTCAGTGACGCTTCCCAACGACGGGAGACCAGGAGCACGGACTTGAAGAGCTACTTCCGGAAAGCGGCCGATGAGGACCCTGGGGAGAGGGCACAGACTCAAACGTAAAAGCTCACACTCCCTGCCACTGAGTCGACTCCGACTCCTGGCGACCCTCTAGGACAGGGTAGGACGGCCTCCTCGTTCTCCCTGGGAGTGGCTGCTGGTTTCGAACTGCTGACCTTGTGGTTAGCAGCCCCGACTCAAGCTACCCAGCGGTGCCAGCAGCGGACCGGACTGGATTTTTTTCTGTTCTGTGTGGGGTCACCGTAAGGCAGAGCCGGCTCGATGGCAGCTAGTGATGGCAACGACGACACTCGTCCTCAATGCTGCTGGAGGTTCCGACCCACCGGGGCCTTACCCACAACAGAACGAAGTGCTGCTGGTTCCGCGCTGTCGCACGTTGATGCTCCAGCCGGTTGTGGCAGCCACCCTGCTGGGGCCTCTTGCCGAGGGGCTTCCTCCTTCTCGCTGCCCCTCGAGGTCACCAAGCAGGATGTCCTTCTCCAGGAACTGGTCTCTCCCGACATGACAAAGGAGACAAAGGACTGTCTGCCTCCCGTCTAAGGATCGTTGGGCTGCACTTCCTCCGGGGCAGATGTGCCTGTTTTTTCGGCACTCTGTGGTACTTTCAAAATCCTACTTGGCCAGCACCATAATTCAAATGCATCAATTGCTCCTCAGCCCTCCTTATTCCATTTCCACCTGTCACGGAAGGTGGAGGAGGCCACTGAAAATACTGTGACCCGGGTCAGACGTACCCTAGTCCTCAAAGAAACAACCTTGCCTCTGGGCATTTTAAAGAAGTCTTCTTCAATGTGACGAGCTTTAAAAGCTTCGTCCACATTATGGGGAGCTGTGGGCTGTTCCTTTTTCCTGGCCGTATAGCACTCCGGTGCTCAACAATGCTGTGTCTCCCATGCCTCTTCCTGTGATGGACGAGGTGCACGTGGAGGTCCCAAACACCCTTGAGTCACACAAGCTGCGTGTCTCTGGGGGGGCATTCTGAGAAGTGGGATTTCTTGGCCTTAAGGAATGCATGGGGCAGTTATACCCTGCCCTGTAGGGTCTCGATGAGTCGGCCTCCACTGGAGGGCAGGGAGGGAGTTTAAAGAATGATAGTTGAATGCAATCAAAACAGCAAACCTGTGGACAATGAGTTAATTCTGACTCACGGTGACCTTGTAGGACAGGCCACAACTGTCCCATAGGGTGTCCGCGGCTGTCTTTCCCGCCGAAGCTCTTCCTCCTGTGGAGTGGCTGGAGGGTTCGAACTGCCAACCTTTTGGTTCCCAGTCAGGAACTTCACCAGGTGTCACCAGGGCTCCTTCCAATTTCTTTAGAGGATGTCAGACTGCTCTCCAATGTTTAGGCCTCCGCCAGTCCTGTCCTGTCCTCCCCCACCTGCCCCCCTCCACCAGCCCCAGGAGATTGTCTCCCTGGTGACAAGAACTTTCTAAAGAATCCATCTCTCTTTCTGCCTCAGGCCTTCCAGGGCTCCCTCCTGCTCCCAGCGCCCTCAGCGGAGAGTCCTCCGAGCTGAGCTCTGGTTTCAGTTCCGACTTCTCTAACACTCTCCAATCGATCCACCAGCTGTGCTAGATGTCTTTCGCTTCCTCACACAGGACACGTGGTCTGGGCTCCCAGCACCTGCAGGCCCCTCTGCCAAGCATGTCTCCTCCCCTCTGGCAATCCCACCAGGTCTTTGAAGAGCCAGCCACTGATGGGAAAGTCCAGGGCAGCGCGGACCTTCCCTGGAGGCCCCGCTCCCGTGGGAAGCAGTGAGTAGGAGCTCAGGGGACTTTCCAGGGGGATGGAAGTGGATGGAGCGTTCCCTGGGAGAGGGAGGACTTCCTTTCCTCACACCCATGAAGTTGCACTCTGAGTATGTGCACCTCAGACGCTCTAAGCACTTCCATGCCTCGGGTTACCTGGGACCCACAGGAGAACCTTGAAATCCAAACTCCTCATCTCTCCGTCTCTACCCATCTGGAGCAAAACGGAAGGAAGGAAATCGGACTGAAAAGTGAAAGGTGGTTTCCTGGACTAAGGGGCGGCATCAAGGGTGGCCTCTTCTACTCTGAGACCAGAAGAACTAGATGGTGTCTGGCTCCCATGACTAACCCCTTTGGGTAAGGGACACAAGAGAAGCTCTTGGGAACAAGGTTCCTCAAACAATTCCTAAAGAAGACCAGGCCTCTGGGGACTAAGGCACACCTGACACCCAAGCTCTGGCGTAGTCCATCAACCTCACCTTCGTGCACGGGCCGGACAGGGAGTGAGGAAGACCACGAAGGATGGGGGCATTTGAGTGATGGTGTTGGTAAGCTGAATGTGCTGGTGGGCTGCCAGCAGACAGGACCAATCAGTTCCTGAAGAAGTACAGTCGGGAGGCTCTTTAGAAGCGAGGATGGTGGACTCTCAGGACTTTGGACAGGTAATCGGGAAGGGGCAGTCCCTGGAGAAGGGCGTCGTGCTTGGTAGAAGGGCAGCGGAAAAACAGGAAGGCCCCCCCACAGCATGGACTAACATGGTGGCTGCCACAATGGACTCAGGGCATAAGGACTTGTGAGGGTGGCACAGGGCCAGGAGGTGTTCGGTTCTGCGGAACACAGGGCTGCTGTGTGCTCAACCAACCCAACAGCCCCCAAAGATACCCATGACACAAGATCAACTAGAGGAAGCCCTGAGGCTACTGTCCCAAGGTGCCCTTCGAAGTTGACCCTGAGGTACTCCTGAAGTTCGCCTTTCTACCAAACCATAAGCTGGTTGAAGACAAACAATACCCTTACTACCCACGAGGCAGGCAGGCAGGCTCTTACTCAACCTTACTCTTACTATGAGCTAAGCGGTCACCACTGACCCCAAAGCCAAGATGAGGGGGCCGTTAGCCCCATGGAAAGGGAACCAGGAGAATATGCAAATGGTGAGAAGGCCAGGAACAGCCTTTGTAAGACGGGCCGAATGGAGACCGAGTGCTTGTGCACACTCTCACCCGCGACACAAGGAGAGGTTTCCTTCAGAAGGAAAATGACAAAAGAAACTCTAAACTCTTCCCCCTGGCCTGGAAGCAAAGCCGCTGTTAAGATACAGCCCCCCCACTGCTCCCCAGCCAGTTCCCACCTTGTGGGGGGCTCCACACACCCCTCTCACCCCACCCATCCCCCCACCCCACCCCAGACCAGGCTGTTCACTTGAGTCAGGGCAGTGCCCTCCAAGGCTCCTAGCTCCCTCGGAGTAAAGACCAACTTCTACAGCCTCTCCTCCTCTGACCTGCCCCTCGCCAGCTGTGCTCCAGCCCCCAGGCCTCCTTATGGCTCTGGGGACCCTCCCACCCCAGGGCCTTGGCACTGGCTCTTCCCTCTCTCCTCAGATATGGCCAGAGTGCCCTCGCTCCCGCCCCACGCTTTGGTTCCAACAGCACCTTCTGAGGGAGGCCTTTCCCGAGGACCCTCCTCAGCCTTGACCAGCCTTAGGCTTCGTGCACACTCTCCGACCGCGTGTTTATGGTGCTTCTCGACGGCTTCCCCACTAGAGGCAGGGAGCCGGGGCTGCCACATGTTGGGCGCTCATGCAGCACTGGCTGAATGAACTGAAAGGCAGGCAGGTGAATGGATGGGCAGGGCCCCCCTGCTGCAGTGCTGCTCCCCACCCCCACCCCCACCCTCAACCATGGGGCTGATGCCCCACTGGCCCGTGACTCACCGAGTCTGTGTGCGATGCGGAGACAGACGTCCTCGGCTGTCAGCGAGCCTTCGCTGAAGGTGACCCAGGGCTCCCCGCCGTCTGGCCCGGCCCAGTGCAGAAGTACACGCAAACCGCCCCCTGTGCCCACGGGCTGAGCTCCGTCCCCAGATGCCCTGCTGCTGCGGGCAGTGGCCCCCCACTGGCACAGAGGCATGCTGCACCCCGAGGCTGCAGGGGGAGGGTTGCCTGTCAGCCGGGTCTCACCCATTCCGGCCGGACTCCGCCCCACCCCAACTTTCCCACCGTGCAGCGCTTCCACCTGCTTCCATCTCTCTGCTTGCCCAGGCTGGGGCCCTGAGAAGAACTCTGTGGCCCTGGCCCCCTGCGGCCTTCACCATTGCCCTCCAGTCGATGCTGGGCCACAGAGACACTGAAGGACAGAGCAGAACTGCCCCTTCGGGCTTCTGAGACTCACCCTGTCCCACCTTCCTCCCGCAGAGCCAGTGATGGGCTCAAACTTTCAGTGAGTGGCTGGCTGCTTAAGGGGCCTGATTTCATTACCCAGCCTCGGTCTCCCCATCCTTTCAAGGGGGCTGGGGCCAGTCTCCTTGTCTAGTCATGCTCACAGAAGCCACCTCCCACCCCCTCTCTGACAATTTGCACCAATCTCAAGCTCCCCTCTGGCCCCCAAATACCCAAGCCCGTGGGGTACACGCTAACCCGGGCCAGTCCTGGTGGTCCTGGTGGCAGCTCCGACAACTCACTCAGTCATTCGGGGCCCCGGCGTCCCCCTCGGGAGGATGGAGATGCTGAGAGTATCTCCATCACAGGCTGCCCTTGCTCTGTCTGCATCATGTCACTGGGTCATGTCTGGGGGGGAAAAAATAAAAGACCAACTTTAAGGAATACAAGGGTTGAGTCACTAGGGTGGGTTTCAGCCTCATGATGACTGTTTCCTTTCAGGCCCCGGCTCCTGCCTCCCACAGCTAACCCCAAGGTGTCCCCAGCCCCTCTTGATTCCATGGAAACCCAGCCCCAAAGACTTTTAGAGGACAGGGCCCAGGGCCAAAGGTTCCAGAGACCTCCATAATGGTCAGGGAGGAGCTGTGGGTGGTCCCACCCCGTTGCTGACGTAAGACCACGATGTTGTTGTTGATGCTGTTAGGGTGTCAGGTCTGCCCTGACCCACAGCAACCCTCGGCATGACCGAATGACACAC